GTTTCAATCCTTCTTACTTATAGATGAAAAATATTAATTTCTGTCAACTATTTACCAAGTAGTTTAAATCCTCTTGTTGGGTTGATTTGACTAACTACTATCGTATTATTTGATACAAAAGGCATGTATGTTTTAGTTGTATGGTAAAGGTATTTGCGTTCTCGTAAAATTTACATAAATCTATCAATCGTATTAAATATATTTATAATATTTAACATCCATTCAATTTGGTTTTGTTAAGCCTAATTATTTTATATTGTATCGTAAAAATCACTTTACTGATTCTTATGTGTATAATATTATACAATAAATTTTAAAATTAGTAATTAAATTTAGAACAGGAATAAATTTTTCATTTAAAGTTGATTTAACATTTTAATTTAAAATTTAAATTCAAAATTAAAATTTAAATTCAAAATTAAAATTTAAATTCAAAATTAAAATTTAAATTTAAATTTAAAATTTGTAATTTTAATTTTTTTTTAATGAAAAGTGGTGTTAGTTGAAACGTAGTGGAAAAGAACATTCTCGGTGTTCTTGGAGCTTCACTACACCAGGAACTATCTTTGGTTCATGATGAAGTTGAACACTTACTGAAACACACTTTGTTGTAAAATAGTTGCTACCATACACAAAACATTTTCAAACAAAACAGTCAAATAACCATAAATAAATGGTATTCAAACTGTTAACTGTTAGAAAAACCGTTTATTGATTGGCTACTTTAATCTAATATGATTAAACAACCAGAACTTAATCGTTCCAACTACCTGATGAAACAACTTAGTTCCTTGCTGCGGGGTACATATTATAACCGAAAGAGCTGATGAGTCAATCTCATGACTGACAGAGCTTGAATTGAAATTCCAGCATTGACAACACAATATTTTCTTTATTGCCTTCAACACATAAAGAGTTTCCAGTGTCGTGCATCCCTTAATTTGTGCCCTTGGACTTTTAAAATACGATAATCTCATTCGCGCAAATCTGGCAGCAACATAAAGCTGGTTAACACAAAAAAGTCTAATATTTCCCATATCTTACGATAAGTGAAATAACCTGATGAACTAATTAATCTACATTCCTAATTAATGTTCATTTCCTAATCAAAAGTCAAACTCTAATTCCCAGATAAATTTCCTTTTACCGATTTTGAAAGTATGCTAGTTGTAAGTGGTTAAAAAACGGTATTGCAATGCATCCATGGTATTTTAACCATACTAGCTGTGTGTGGTGTCAAACCCGTAATGGTAAAAAATTTTCTTTTCCGTAAACTTATTGTTGATAGGATGGACAGAGTGCTGCCGGTTATTTTACCGTAATTTAATAATGAAAATTCTGACAGTGCAGGATATTATCGTTTTTGTCAGCACAGAATAATGGACTTAAAGAGTTAAATTTTTGTGCAAATAGAAGAAATAAGGCTTGCAGTGGATTTAATTAACTTGATTTGATGACCATGAACACGTAGGGTCTCTTCACACGCAAAAATAATATCACGCATGAAAAAAAGTCTTATAAAGCTAGACTAATGTTAATGTACCTCAATTCGAAAAAAATAAGAAGTTTTTTTTTGTTTATATTATAATTATAATTTTTTATATTGTAATTTTTTTTAAATGTTGTTGGAAAAGATAATCATACAATTAATATATATATATATATATATATATGTACTTGAAGAGTGATATACTTTGAGTTAAAATATCTAGCTTTTTAATAGGTTAATAGAAATCTATGTTAAATCTTAAGCTACAATTAAGGCTTTGGCGATAATTTGTTACGTTTAATTATAAAAATGATTTCAATATAGAAATAATAAAATCAAGCTAATTTATTCTATATGTACCTTGAATAATGGAGTTTATAAATTAAAACATTTTATTTTCCTCACATACATTAAAATTAATAATACAAAATGTTGTTAAATAGTTAAAAAAAAGATTTTTTGAAGATTCACAATAAAAGCTGCAGCAATAATTGCTAAACAAGTGCTAATAGTTATTACTACTTTTATCCACAAGTCAAATCTCCAAGCACATCAAAAATGTCATATAAAAGTGGAAAATATAGAATAGATATTTCAGATGAGGTTAATAAATGCACCGTAAAAAATACCAGCTCTCAGAATCGAAAAAAATGTCCACTATTTATGTGTGAAGGCTGAATCTTGCTATCAAACTTTTGAACACTTCGAAACTACCATGGGCACTTAAATTGAAATGACAACAACGGAGAAAAATTCAAAAAGCTATTGAAGAAAAGTTGAGTCGACAAAAGACACCAATGAGCTAAAAAACATATTTACAAATTGGATGAAATTTACCTAGATGTTAAAACTATCTAATTCCCAAAAACTAATGAGAAATTCTCCAGCTTTTCTTCAGGTTATGGGCACCCTATAAACCCACAAAAGAACTGCCTGAGAGGTAAGAGGACTGAAATTTTAGCTGGAGCACTGTGCTAAAAGCATCGTAAACCCACAAAATTTAGCAAACCCTATAAACCCACAAAAGAACTGCCTGAGAGGTAAGAGGACTCAAATTTTAGCTGGAGCACTGTGCTAAAAGCATCGTAACAAAACGTTTTCTGATTATTACAAGAAGACTGTTTCGTTATTTGAAATTTGATAAAATTGAATTTTTAGCCACTTTTCTAACAGAAGTGCTAAAAAATTTAACTACATTCGAAAATCATAAAATTTTTATATCTTCCTACAAACAACAAAAATAGCATCAAAATAAGGTCATATATCTGCAATCATATTATCAAAATAGAGAATTAATACTTAACGGAAATTAAGACCAGCTTTCGACTAGTTAGCGAACTTAAATCGTAACTGGGTTATATGCTTGATAATAATGAAAGTTATACTTGTATCCTGACTGCTACAATCCAATTTTACCTCCTCATAATATTCATTAGTCAAAATTTGACCACTTTCTGACTTGCTAACTATACTTTAAAATTACTTTATGACTAGCTAAATTATTGAAGTATTAGGAATAATTTATACATAATTGTTTCTTAATTCACCCATTTATCTTTTAAAAAACTGCAAAACCTCTTCCAAAAGATCAAAAAACATTTATTTTACATTTAATAAATAAACAGCTATTTCTTTAATGATATCTTTCATTCTTACTGTTCTTATAGTAAGCTGTTTGCTAAATTACAGTATTTACTTAAAAAACCTCTTCCAAGAGACATAAAAAAATTCAATTTTGCATTTAATATGTCAAATAACAATCAGCTATTTCTTCAATGATATCTTTCGTTCTCAATTTTTTTATAGTAAGCTGCTTGCTAAATTACTGAAGTATATGTAATAATTTATATAAAATTAGAATATACATAATTACTTCTTAATTCGCCAATTTATCTCTTAGAAAACTGTAAAACCTCTTCCGAGAGACCCAAAAATTCTACTCTGCATTTAATATTTTAAATAAATAAACAGCTATTTCTTAAATAATAGCTTTCGTACTTAATGTTTTTACATTAAGTTGTTTGCTAAATTACTGAAGTGTTTGTAATATTTCGACGTAAACTTTAATTTTAAAAGAGTTTATTTAATAAAAGACATTTAATATTTAAATCTTTTCAATAATGTCATGTTAATCGTTCTTGATATAGTTCTTTCAACAATATTTATCTTCCAATTTATGTTTCTGTGCAGCATATTGTTTGGGATAAAATCTCGCTTATCGCTTGAGACTCATGATACTTTTTTTTCCATAATTTTTATACACTTAAGTTTTAAGTTCCTTACTTAGAAAATGATTAATCTTTTAGAGCTTACACTAACAAGCGCTAACTGACAGCTTGAGCACAGAGAATGATTTATGGGGCTCTAGAATAATTTTTATGTTTTCTTCTTGTCACAATTTAGTTAAGACGATCATTCGGTTTAGGTTTAATGCTGCTTTTTTTCTAAAAAGTCTTAATTAGTTTTACTCTAAATGTATTTCGAATGGTTTTTCTTCCAAACTATTCGTTTAATTCTCACTTTTTACGTTATCGAGATCTTACATCTTTCCAGTGAGGAAACAATTTTGAAATTCGATTTCAGTTTATCGTAAACAGAGTGAATCGGTAAGAATCGATTTTTTTAACGCAGAAATGTTTTTTATTCTAAACGCACTTAATAGTTTTTTATTCCTTTTTTTCATGTACCTATTATAACAACAATTTAGAAATTAAATCTCATGCACTGAGGAAAAAAATATAGTCAAAACTGCACTTAAGTAATGATTTTGGTTAAATTATCAATAAAATAATGTTTTGTAATGTATGATAAAATTTAGCAAATGTGGTAACTTTAATGATAATCAGGGCAGAAAAATTATTTTTACGATTAAATTTGCTTTTCAGTTTTTTATTTCTTACTAAATGCGTGGTGATAGGAACTATAATTCTGAAAATCAAAATTTCCAGTAAACTATTACCTTAAGAACGGAAAAATCACCAAATGAATGGTTTAAATACCATATATTTTGGTTTTTATGCCATATATTTGGTTTTAAAAACTAGTAACAAATTCTCTCCATTTTTTTTTTATTTAAGATTATATAAATTTAAAAAAAAGCAATATTCATTCAAAAAAAATTTAAACTCTATAAGTTCAGTGGCATTAACTTATAATACACGCATACAAAATCTGAAAACAAAATCCTTTGTTAGCACGAAGTTATATCAGTCTGAAGTTGAGCTCAATTTTTTATCTCAATTTTCTTCTGCAAAAATAGTTTTATTCGAGGCCTAATTTTTTTTTAGTTTCTGGGTCTAAAGCTTTAAGAAGATAAGCTTGACAGATCTAGACACTTGCGTACCAAATTTTTTTCAAAATTTGAAACGTGAAATCGCATTAAAAAAGAAAATTTAAAATCTTCTTTGACGAGAAAATAATTGTTTCGAATGTTCTTCTGTTTGATAAAGAAGTTTTTATTTAATCCATACTAAATCATATTATATAATTATAAAACATTCCTTTCTTTCAGGGTTTATGGGATGTTAAAGATGCTCACACTATTTATTCCATTGGATATGGATTATCATTGATTGCTCTCGCTATAGCATTGTGGATTTTTCTATACTTCAGGTACTTTCTTTACTCCTTGTATACTTGAAATATACTTGATATACTTGGGAAAAATATACTTGAGGGTGCCCCTTGGCGAAATTAGTGACTTATGTTTGGCGCTATTCCTGTTTGCGCGGAGCACCGGGGTAACAGGAATGGCAGCCAAAACATAATGATATTTCAATAAAACATTAGAAAATTTCAACAAAACATCGGCCAAAACTTACAATGAACCTAATATAAGCAAAATTAATAAACCCACTAAAAAGGATTTTGAATCGAAGCAAAACTTAATGGAGTAGGTGCAGAAAGAAAACAACTCTCTTCTTCTTGAATATTCTCAGATTCAGGTGCAGGTTATCTAATAAGATTCAGGTTATCTAATAACAATTAGATGTTCTCTAAATTTATCATGAATAGAATCTGTGCACCTCCGACGAAATACGAATCGAAAATGGCGTCAGTAATACCGGACTAGCGGTGATATTTTTTTCTTAAATCCCTTTTTACGACTGCCCACATACCTTCGATCTTATTGACCAGATTCAAAAGTAACCTTACCAGCCGGTATCCAAAGTAGAACTAACGGACCTCTGAAATTANTGAACATTTAAAAATAACGTAAAAATCTAAACCAATCAGAATCACGATTGGGTTTCAACATCGCCTAGCTTGGCAATCAACCTTGCCGAGAATCAAGGGGCACCTTCAAATATAGTCTACCCATTTTAGTAATTAAATAACTAACTTTTATGTAAGCTGTTCGAAACTTTTCTTTTCAAATTTGATGGAATAACACATTAAATGAAGGAATGGACTATTTTTTGTTGTTTCTGCAATCCACAAAATGAAATACGGATCGCTTCGTATGACTGTTGATCTGATAATCGATTTCTTAAGATTAATATGCAATCTTAAGATTATTAATCTTAATTCTTAATCTAATCAAATTTAAATAAGAGGAACTAAATTTGAGAAAAGGAAAAGGTGAGTTTAGGCAAGCCTAGATTAAGCCATTAAGTTACAATTGCTGGAGAAAAAAATTCTAAATGTCAAAATGCAAACAAACTATTAGAAGAGAACTTCTCCATTGCATAAGCCTAATTAATTTATTCCCTCGTATTAATTATTTCCCTAGTAATTTATTTTCATTTTGATACTTGAATTTCGTTTCAGCTTCTTTTCGAATTTCTTTTCAGCAATTGAAACTTCATGGCTTACTCTAGGTCTGTCTGAACTCACTTTTTCTATAGTTTAAAGTTCAATTTAGTTATGGAGGTGAGAAAGAATTTGAGATGGAAAGATTCTTCCGCGATATAGTGTCCTCTTAATTGAAAGAAAGATTTATCTGAAATATGCAAATTTACTATCAAAGACCAGGGAGTTCAAGGTGCTATGACCATTTTTTAAGAATTGGATTGATATAGAATTTAAAATAGAGTAAGAATTGCTTGCTTTTATGTGTTAAAAGTTACTTAATTATTGGGGACATTTATGATTTATCAGACACTGTTGTGATCAGGATTTACAGACCTCTGATGAATACAATATTTTTAAGTTCCAAAAAAAGAAGAAAGCCTAATGTTTCTGATAAAAATAGATCAAAACGTTATCGGAGTCAAAAAATCATGATTTTTTGACTCCGATAACGTTTTGATCTATTTTTTGATTTTCTAGTAGCTAAATTTTATGAAATGGAAAGTAGAGTTACATACTTTTGTGCAAAACTTAACTAAAATATTTCCATGATTTTTTGAGGCACCGAAATCACCAGGGCTTATAAATTCCAACGCTGAAAAAAAGGTATGGTCAAAACTACTAGAATATGGTCAAATTTACTGCGCTTCGGACTCTTTGTAAGCATCCAAATATTCTGTTATTTTTACTAAAGAACTTTGGTAAGTTTTATAGTAAACAATAAGAAATTTTTTTAGCTTATGTACTAAAATTTTGTAAATGTGGTAAGTTTGGTAATTTTATCATAATACCTTACAGGGGTTCCTAACCCTATGCCCGCGGGCACCATGGCGCCCGTCGATCGGTCTAGGTGCGCCCGCTGCTTATGCCCAACTATAAAATATTTTAGTGTTCCATTTTCCCATTAAATGCTATGCAAATACATACTGAAGTACACTGGCTCAGTAAAGACAAAGTACTTGATAGATTTCTACATTTAATGGAAGAAATAAAAAGTTATCTTGCAGCCCAAAAATCAAACATTTTATTTTTAGAATTAAGAGATCCTCTTTGGCTAGCAGACTTGTCTTTCATAACGGACATAATGGAAAAACTAGATAATTTAAACTTGGAGCTGCAGGGAAAGGACAAACATATACCAAAAATGATCGAGGCTATAAACTCGTTCAGAGCTAGGATAGTTTTGTGATATCACATTTGAAAAATGAAGCCTCTTGTGCATCTTCCAAGCATGGAAAAAAATGATAGGTAACAGTGAAATTGACTTATCAGCATTTGTCATCAACCTCCAATTGCTTAAAGATCAATTTGAAAAGCCTTTTCAACAATTTAATATCATCGAACCTTTGATAACATTTTTGTTAATTCTTTTAAAAACCAAATAAACGTAACCGTAATAGCAACATGCATTTCAGAATTTCTTCAAGTAAAGAGAGACGAAGTGGAGATAGAAATTCTCTTCAGAATGGCATTATCCTCAAAACTATTATATCAGATGAGAAATTCTGGAATATAGTTGAAGGAATAAATTCCATTCTTAAAAAGAGCAGCACATAGAATAAAGTCGTTTCTTGGTTCCACATACTTGTGTGAGTTATTGTTTTTGACTATGAATATCATAAAATCAAAATATAGATCCCGACTTACAGATGAACACCTTGACGATAGCTTGCGAGCAGGAATTTCATCATATTCTCTCAATTATGAAGCGCTGGCCAGTGAAATACCATGCCAAAGACCACATTGACTGTATTTTATAAATAATTTTTATACTTCGCATGTTTTGAAAGCAATTTAGTAATCATTTATTTTACACAAGAATATTAATACTAATTATATTAATATGTTAAATTAATTTTTTCAATTAAATTTTTGTGCATTATATGTAGTGTGTATTGTTACATATGTCTACCAACTATAAATTTATCTTGAAAAAATAAATGGTGCCCGCCATTCGACCGATATTCTGGTATTTGCTCTTTAGAACGAAAAGGTTGGGGACCCCTGCCTTAGATCATGGCATAAGAATCATTTATTCGGCTAAATTTACTTTTCAGCTCTGCATTTTTTACTGAATGTGCGGTAATAAGAACTAGAATTTTGACAACTTAAACTTTCGTTAACAGTTACCATATGAACTGGAAAAATACTAAATGAATACAGTAGTTTTGGGTTTTATTAGCGAGAATTATGGTTTATGAATAAGAAATGTTATTACCATACTGCAGGATAAGTTTACCAGAATTTGTTTCCTCGTGTAGCAAAAACTTTTTTTTTTAATTGCAAAGTAAGACTGGAAAGTGTGTCCACTCTGATTAAACGTACCTTATTCTTTATTTTAAACTTATATAATGGGTAATAACTGTATTCTGAGAAAATACGGTCCCCACATTAAAGTCGAAAAACGTTATAATATTTGAGATCCGTAAAATAATTTTGATTTCGCGTACTTTGAGAAATGTTTGAAACTACTTGCACGATACTAATAATTTTTCATGGAATTATGAAACTCATTTATCATAAGATAATTTCATACAGTAAATAGACCATCTTCATAATTTTTTTTCCTCTTTTTCTATTTAATGATGATCGAAAACCACATTTAATATTATTTGAAATCGTCTTAAACTTTGTAATCTTAAATGAAAGGATGCAAAATAATATTAGTCAACTTGTCAATGAGACTTGTTAGTTCGTAAACTTTTCGAGAGATTCTCATGAAAATTTTAAAATACAAGTTTCTAGCTTTTTATTACTGATGAAAAGGTAAAAGAGAAACAGCTTGAAAAAAATTTTGACTTTAATAAAATTATTACTATAATTTCAAGCTTATTATGAACAAATCTTTGATGATCAACACTTAGGTTTTATAGATTATATATTATATAATGGTTACAGTTATTATACAATGCGAGTTATTTTTGGATTGAGAAAAACGGGAATAAATTTTAAACATTGTATTTTTTACAAAAAAATATATTAAAAATGAAATTCTAATAAAACGATTTAAAATTGTTCCTGTTATTTCTGCATACAATTCTATTTTTCTTATGCATACATAGAATCATGGAATACGTATATGAAAACTTTTGTATACCATGTATACCTACGTATATGTAGCTTTTTGTGTATATAAAAATAATTCATATTCATAACTCAATTTTGTGTATATACAATGCTCAAGAGAGCAAAATATTCAAGACATTAAATCTTTTTTGATAAACTTACGTGAAGAATAACTTTAAATTGCTAGAAACTATTTCTTTTAGCTATAGAAATAATACCAAATCTTTTTATTTCTGTCGAAGTTAATAAAGAAATTACTTTTAAAGCAAAATATACATTAAGCAGTTTTACTGCAAAATCTAGAAAAAAATCTTAAAGACTAAGATTTTGAAACATTAAAAAGCTTTCTAATGCATCAAAGCGAAAAATAAAAGTAAAATCCAAGTAAGCTGTCGTTTTTCTTTTGTTATCATGCCAAATTGGAATAAGTTGGTTTCTTTTATACGTAAATATAAAATATGATAGCGATAAAAGGAAGAATTATTACTTTGGGTGTCGAGTTTAGCAATATATTTTGACTTCCACTTATAATGTATTAAGAGTTTGTTGACATATTTATCTTTTCATTCTTACATGAGTGAAGAAACATCAAAAATATGTTTTCTTTCTAAATAATAACATATTGAATGTGAAGATTGCATTAAGTTAAAGATTTTTTTATCTATACTTTAATTTTAGAAATTTATTATGAAATATATCAAGTTGTATTTAGATCGTAATAAAATTTAGCTGACTGCATAACAAATTTATGTTTT